GGGAAGTATCCAAACTGTTGGTTGATGAGGGTGGTGGCTACCCCTGAGCAGGTAGTCCCAGGTTTTATTAGAAAGCTGGCTGAGCAAGATGAATGCTAGCAAGTATGCAGTGTTTCTCTGAAGTCTCCACTTTCAGTTTCCATCTCCAAGTTCCTGCCTCGACTTTCCTCTGTGATAGACCGTTACCTGAAAATAACCCTCCCTTCCAAGTTACTTTTGGTCCCAGCAATAGTAAAGCAAACTAGGACTATTGTACAAAGCAATTCCTAACTTGTTTCTTATGTAAATATAATCCTTATGCATTCTCTTTGTACATACCTGGTGTCACCTAGTGCACAACTATCTCCTGGTCATGGTTCTCAAACAGGGTTGTGATTTTCTGTTACTGACTCCCAGTCAGAGGTGCTGAGATGCCAGAATCTGGAGTTTCTAAAACAAATGGTGTGTGCTTGAAACCCCTGGGGTGAGCACACACCCGTGACCAGCACTCTTTGGTTGTATGGAGGGTCAGCCTCTGTATGATCGAGAGCCTGGCCCTAAACTTCCTGTTCCCTGTGGCTATGAAAGGCTAGAGTAAGCCACTTGCACTGGGCTGAAGCAGGGCTGGGACCTGGTGGTCAGGCTGGCAGGAATCTCCAGTGTCTCTCAAACTGTGAGACTGCTGCAAATGTCCTGGGGGCAGTGAGTCCCTCTGAAAGGGAGACAAACAGCAAGCAGTGTGGGCCTTGGCACAGCTGCTGTGAGTACCAAGAGTCAGCATTGCCAGGATCATGAGGCTTTCCTTCCGCTAAAGAGGGGAAGGAGTTCATTCTGGACTGAGCACCTATGAAAGTGAGTTAGACCAAGCACACCACAGTTGTGGTTGTCCCTTCCTTGTCGCCATGATCTCCATCACTGTCAGTATTTTCACAACACTTGACAGTTTGAATGACCTCCTATAATGGTTTCTTTGTGTGTGTGTGTGTGTGTGTGTATGTGTGTAGGGCTGTAGGTGTATGTGTAGTGTATGCACATGCATGTGTACAGAGGCCAGAAGAGGACTTCAGGTGTCCTTCTCTGTCATTCTCTGCCATGTTCCCTTGAGAGAGCCTCTCACTAAGCCTAGGGCTGGACAGGAAGCCAGCAAGCCTCAGTATTCTTCCTGTCTCTGGCTCCCAACAGCGCTGAGGTCAGAGGTGCAGAGCCATGTCTGGTTCTTTATGTGGGCACTGGGGATTTGAACTCTAGTCTCCATGCTTGTGCACCAAGCACATTTACCCACTGAGACATTTCCCCATCCCAAGGATATTCTCTCTCTCTCTCTCTCTCTCTCTCTCTCTCTCTTTGTGCTTGTGTTTCAAGACAGGATTTCTTTGTGTAGCCCTGGCTGTCCTGGAAGTCATTCTGTAGACCAGGCTGGCCTCGAACTCACAGAGATCTGCCTGCCTCTGCCTCCTGAGTGCTGGGATTAAAAGTGTGTGCCACTACCACCCAGCCCCAAGGACTTTCTGCAAGCATAAGAAATTGATATTTTCCTTTTATTTAAATCCATGAAGTTGACATTTTCCCCTTGAGGAAACTGAGACTTAAGTCATAGAGGAGGCCAGTGTCAAGGCCCACATTCAAGTTCAGATCAAATGTCCGCCATCTGGTATCCTCCTCTTACACCATAGCTTGCTTTTCACAAATGTGGCTTTCCTTGTAAGCAACACTAGTTACTACTGCTCAAGGGGAAAATGTGGTGGTGGCCAGTACAAATGGCCAGTAGGTACACAAAGTAATCATTGGTGCTAGCAAGTGCCTTTCCTGCCAGTCATTCTAGGGATAAGGACATTATCAAAAGTAGCCATTTTAATCCGAGCAGTCGGACTGTTTTGTGTGATTCGCTCTGATCCCCATGCTGGCTGGCAGTGGTTCTGTGTGAAAACGTGGCGCTTGTGCTCCTGTTGCTGGCTGACAGGCTTCCTGCTCACACTGCTCTTAATGGCCATGGGCCACTTGTTGACACCAGCAGAGTGACTGCCATCTGGACCAGCAGTGTTGGGAGCCTTCACTTTATACTCGATTGTGCTTGAGGGGGGCAAGTAAACAAGAAAACAAATGAGTAGCCCTGAAGACCAGCAGACTGAAAAGAGGTTTCTCTCAACAGTGAGTGCGGATGAGGAAGGCTTGCTGTCAATCATGAGCAAAGCATCTTGGGTCCAGCCTGTTCGGGTTGTCCTGTGCAGGACATAAGTCTCAGCACTAAAGCATATGATGACCTTTCGGTCTCAGTCTGCTCCTGGTCCCTGCACCCCATTGCAGTGTGTGTGTGTGTGTGTGTGTGTGTGTGTGTGATACATACAGAGGAGGAGGGCAGGGGTGTGTGTGCTGACACTGGCCAGTTACATGATGGGCAGGCACTCAGATGTCTAGTAAATTATATTAGACAGTGTCATCATGACTACCATTTGCAACAATCCACCACAAGACCCACCCTGATGTGTGTGTGGGGCACAGGTTCTTGTTTCTATGCTGTCCACTAAGTCCAACAAGAAGCCTGTGTTCATCCCATATACAACCAACTTAACTGAGAGATAGAAGCTGCAAGCCAGCTGGGGCTGTGGGATGTAAGGAATGTGGCAGAGAGAACCGGCTTCTCTCTGCCTTGGGTGCCCCATCTGGCACACCATTTTCCTTCTTTCAAAGATCTCCTTTAGACAATTTTCTGAGACAGAGCTCAGACAGTTTCACTGGGCTTTGGTTTGTGAGCAGATGTCTTTATTTCCCTTTCAGTTTGGGATGCAGTTTTGCTAGATTGGAATTCCAGGATGATATGTGTTTCTCCATGTTTTGAAGGTTTCAATCCACCTTTTCTTGCTTGCCTTGTTTGTGAAAAGAAGTGCCATTTGATTTGGATTCTAGTTCCTCCTTCATGGTGAGGTTTTTCTTTCTCCCTTGAAAGATTTTCCCTTTGTCTTTGTTTTCTTGTCATTTGAATTTGATATGCCTAGCTATAATTTTTGGTATTTATCCAGGCTGGTATTTCTGAGATTGCCAGATCTGTCATGAATTTCAGAAAATTCTCAGGTATCATCACCCACTTTTCTGTTCCTTTGTCCTTTTCCAGTATTCTCATTATATAGACATTACACCATTTATAGGCGTCCCACAGTTTTTGGATATTCTGCTATGTTTTGTTCATCCTTTCCCCCCACCCTCTGCATGTTAGTAATTTTGCCCCCCCCTTTTGTATTGATAAACCTACCAAAGGCATTATTTATTTCTTACATTGTGTATGGGTGTAGCATTTTGTTTCGATTCCATCTCAAGTTATTAAGAGACACACATCTATCTATTCTTTCATGCTGTCTCCCTTTCCCACTAAGTCCTTAGCATGTTAATCACACCTATTTTATGTTCCGGGTTAGATAATTCCAAAACATCCATCACCACTAAATCAGTTTCTGGATTTTAATGTGTCACTCCAACCTATTTTTCTTGCTTTTAGCATGCCTCAGTATTTTTGCTGGACATGAAGTATTGTAATGGGCATGGGCTGCATAAACCTTTACTACAACAGGGGTCATCTGACTAGGAGTTGTGCAGTGTTAATCATCTGTTGTGACCACAGATCTCTGTGTATTCAGTTTCCCCCTGCATCTTTTTTTTTTTTTTTTTTTTTTTTTTTTTTTTTTTTTTTTGTATCCACTGTTGTCCTGGGTTTCCTCAGAAGTTTTAGAGCCTGACTCCTGCAGTTCTTTTATCTGCATTCCTCCATTGCACAGGGGTTCCGTGGCTGCCCATGTAAGGAGTGTGAGAAGTAGTCTATGTTCCTATGAGCAGGTCTTTCAGGTGGGTTTGTGTCCCTGAGTTATCACCTGCACAGGTTTCCTTCAGCACTGCCTGCTTCTAGCTTACGTGAGACAAGAAGCTAGATGGACTTGGATCACTATCTACAATTCTCCAGTCAGACTAAATCTTTGGTAAAATACTTTTCCTTGACTACTATCTTTCAATACAAATGAACAAAGAGCAGAACCCCAGGAGTAATTCAGAGTGGGTATGTCCCCTTCTTCTAGCTGAAAGCAAGGCAGAGGGTTTTCTCTGGTCCCCATAGTGAGAATGTGGTGATGTGGATCCTGAGTGAAACATGGACTTTCAATTTATGAGTTTCTCTGTAGTGAGCCTCCAGTAACTGTCAAGCAGAGTTTAAATGCCCTCCCCATGCCTTCAGCTTTAGTCTTGGGCTCCTGTGCCCTCTGAGTTGTCACTCTTTGAATGCTACTATCTTGCTTTTTCAGGGCAGTCCTTTGTCCAGTGATCATAGTCCTCTGGTGGTTACAGGAAGTGATATTTTGTTGCTTTTGCTTATTGTAAGGATGGAGATGACCATGTTCAACATCTTAATATGTTAGAGGAAAATCCAGAAGTCTAAGTTGCTCTTTATTGATGATTGTACAAAAGTGGACATCATAGTAAAACCGAGATAATTAAGTTATATTGGTGGCTGGATTTTATTCATTTTGATTATTTGGTTCTGTTATAGAAACTGAACCTGCATTTGTATGTAAAATATTAAGTATAATATGAGGCACATATACTCTTTCTTACAATTTTATATTGCTCTGGAGCAATCTACTGCTTAGTAAGAAAAACCTTTCACTAGCTCTGCTATTAATCTTTGCAACTATTAAAATTGCAGAGATTTAAAGGATTATTTACCATTGGTAAAAGCACTACTTTTTTCTCTATCAAGATATGCTTTATGTCTAATAAATTGTTAGTTGTATGAGCAGAGTCAGAGCTGGTGCTTTTTATTATTGCTATAGGGTCTTTATCAGACTTGAAAGTTCTTGCTTTTAATCAAATAGCTGCGAGTTTCTAGTGGCCACATGGCTAAAGATTGTTCTAGTCTACTGGAGTCACCAACAGCAGATTTCTTATAGAGCAATCCTAAGTAGGAAACATTGTTTTACATTATAATTTGAGAGGCTTTTGGAGCTGCAGGAGAGTTTTAAACCCACTTTCTGTTTACTTAGGGTGATTCCAACTTTAATTGACCCGAAATCAATTTTCTCCAAGGAGCCTGAGGGTAAACTTGGTCAACCTCAAAAGCGCAGTTCAGTTTCACATGGCCTTACAAGAGCAAAGGTAGGAGCCTGTGAGTCAGGCAGCAGAGACAGGGAGAAGGGAAGCCAAGGGAAGGGGAGACCAAGGGAAGGGGAGGCCAGGGGGAGGGAAGGTCAGGGGAAGGGGGGTGTGGTGAGGGTTTACAACTCTGTAAATACACTAACTACTGCTGAATGCTCACTTTCAAAAAGAGAGCCTGCTGACATAAATTATATCCCAACAAAACTGCTCATTTTTTTCCTAAGGTGGCATCTCTAGTATTTGGTGGTGGTGGTGGGGAAGGGTTTATTTGACTTAGACTTCCATATCATGGTTCATCATCAAAGGAAGTCAGGACAGGAGTTCAAACAGTACAGGAACCTGTAGGCAGGAGCTGATGCAGAGGCCATGGAGGGGTGCTGCTTACTGGCTTGCTCTCCATGGCTTGCTAAACCTGATTTCTTATAAAACCCAGGACCACCAGCTCAGGATAGCACCACCCACAATGGGCCGGGCCCTCCCCATTCATCACTAATTTTAAAAATGCCTTACAGGTTTGTCTATAACCCAATTTTTAAAAAATGACAAAATAAAATATAAAAGATAAAGCAAAAACCATTATATCAAAGTTGGACATGACAGTCCAACAGGAGGAAAAGAGTTCCAAGAGCGGCACAAGAGTCAGAGGCCCACTTGTTCTCATACTCAGGATGCCCATTAAAATACTAAGCTGACAGCTGTAATGTATGCACAGAGGGCCTGGCGCAGATCCACGTAAGCCCTATGCTTGCTGCTTCAGTCTCTGTGAGAAAACTGCCAAACTTTTAAATTAGATAATATAATGCATATTTTGGTTGGTTTCTGTAATTTAATGTTGCTGTTGTTTTGGGTGTGTCTACAGCACAGTTAAATTCTGTCCCGACCTGCAGGACATCAACCTGGGGCAAGAGAGTCAGGGATAGGGAATGGGCACAAGAGATGCAGAAAGAACAACCACAAGACAGGATTCTGATCAAGTGGCAAACTTTACTTTTCTCAGGCTAGCTTATATAGTCAGGATATGGGGAGGGGCAGAATGGGTTGTTTGTGAGCCAGGTGTTGGTATAGGCAGGATATTAGGAAGCCACAAAGAGGATGTTTGG